GATGAAACATATTCCCCTGTCATGGATGCAATTACTTTCAGATACTTAATTAGTTTAGCTATCCATGAAAATCTTGAGATGCGTCTCATGGATGTTGTAACTTCTTACTTGTATGGATCATTAGACACAGACATTTACATGAAAGTTCCTGAAGAAATCGTAATGCCCGAAGCACTAAACTCCAAACCTAAAGAGTTATGTGCAGGTCATTATATGGCTTGAAACAATCCGGGTGTATGTGGTATAATTGTTTGAGTGAACAATTACTTAAAAGGGGATACTTAAATGATCAAATATTTCCGTGTGACTTTATAAAGAAATCACATGATGGAGTTGTGATAATTGATGTCTATGTTGATGTTCTTAATATTATTGGGACAACAAATGAAATTCGAGAAGCAGTCATTTTTCTGAAAGGCGAATTTGAAATGAAAGATCTAAAAAAAACCAAATATTGCCTCGGCTTACAGATAGAGCGGGTACAGAATGGGATATTTATCCATCAATCTAACTATACTAAAAGAGTACTGAAACGATTCAATATGGATAAAGCTAATCTCCTTAGTACTCCGATGGTTAATCGAACATTGGATGTTGAAAAGGATCCATTTCGACCTTGTGAAGAAAATGAAGAAATACTTGGTTCTGAGGTACCATATATGAGTGCAATAAGAGCTCTTATGTATCTTGCTAATTGCATTAGACCAGATATATCTTTTGCTACCAACTTGTTAGCAAGATATAACTCGTCACCTACGAGGAGACACTGAAATGGAATCAAGCATATATTCCATTATCTCCAAGGAACAACCGATCTGAGATTATTTTACTCAAATGATAAAAAACATGAAATGATTGGTTTTGCAGATGCAGGATATTTATCAGACCCACATAAGGCGAGATCTCAAACTGGCTACGTATTCACGATTGGCGGAACTGCATTTTCTTGGCGTTCTCAGAAACAAACCCTGGTTGCTACATCTTCAAATCATGCTGAAATCATTTCACTTCATGAAGCAACTAGGGAAAGCATCTGGCTCAGAAACATGACTCAACACATTCAACAAACCAGTGGATTATCGAATAATAAAGATCCGACGATGATATTTGAAGACAATGCAGCATGTGTCGTTCAAACCAAAGAAGGATACATTAAGAGTGACAGAACTAAACATATCCCACCAAAGTTCTTCTCGTACACTCAAGAGCTTGAAAGGAACAAACAAATCAAGATTCAATACATCCGATCAAGTGATAATGCAACTGATTTATTTACTAAGGCGCTCCCAACTACAACATTCCGAAAGCACGTCCATAACATCGGAATGAGACATCTTCGAGATTTGCACAGATGATTACTCGAGGAGGAGCATGTGCGGTTGTACTCTTTTTTCCTTATCTCAGTTTTTTCCCATAGGGTTTTTCCAGATAAGGTTTTTAACGAGGCAGCATAAACGCACATTTAATAGTGGTAATTCTAAAGAGTCGAATGTACCTGATGGCAACAAGATATAATTCTTAATGATGACTAGAAGACACTGGAGTAGTTGTACTCTTTTTACTTCGATCAAGTTTTTCCCACTGGGTTTTCTTGACAAGGTTTTAACGAGGCAGCACGTGGATACTCCACTAAAGATGATCTATTTGAGGAGGAGAATTGTGCTTCAACAATGCTCAGGTTTTGTCCCACCGGGTTTTCCTGATATGTTGAATGACTAATGTACATTTTATAATTGTTAGTCCAAGGGGGAGTGTTGTAAATAATGGACTAACAAATAGTCATTTGTACAAATTAGACTATGTTGTAAATAATAGACTATTGTACAAATTAAAATATGAATAGTACATTGTGTAAAAATGTCAAAAAAATGTGGCAAAATTTTTCCTATAAATATGACTCAATTCATTGAGCATGTACACAAGAAATACAAGAAAGAAATAAAGTAGAGAAAATCTAGTAAAAATATATCTCCGGTTTCTATATTTGTGTTCTTTATTTTCCTCATATTCATAACATAATCTTAATATCACTTTAAATTTTCAAAATTTATAAGCTGAAAATCGCATTTACTTGTCAATTTTGGAGGATTTTTCATAAGAAAAGAAGCATCAAATTCTGGAAAGAGAGAATCAAAGTCGGCCCAAACAAGTGGAAGGACCCATCAATTTTCGATACTTCCAAATGCTTTCGGCAAAAAAGTAGTTGACGTGGGTCCAGCAGATGGCCGAAAGCCGGCCAATTGATGAGAGTTTTTCCACCAATTTACATCATTTCATAACCCTGTGGCCTATATGGGACTTTGATGCAATCTTGAACTACACTCTCAACAGTTGCATTTATTTCTGGCCAATAAAAAGAGGGTGACATATGCTGACCTTTGTAGAATTTCATTCTCTAATTTTGTCACAACATATATGTATTATTTGTGTGGTTTGTGAATATCAAGAATATGGTTTAAGGAGAACAAAGAAAAATTAATGCAAAATTAAAGTCGAGACACATAATAATTACGTTTTTTTAGAACCAATTTGCCTCGTAAAATACCAACTGTTAACAAACGCCTCTAAGATGTAAGAAAAATCAGTTATAAAACTTGAGTTTGATCCGATTTTGACTAAATATTTTATGGCTAAATATTTAATTCAGGATGAATTAAGTTGTATAGAAAAATTTTAAATTCCGAGTACTTCTCGTAGTATATTTATTTTCTCAAAATTGACTTTTGGTGAGTACAAAATAAATGATTAAAGTTAGCCATAAATGGGCAACTAAAACGATGTTTGTGGGATTCGAACGGTCAAAAATCTTTGTCACATTGGACTCTTAAATGAGACTAACTTTTTTTATTATAATAAAGAGAGTTACAGAGGTCACAACAATAACAAAATTATGCACCAAGTGTTGGTGTTGGCTTCGGCCACACGCGCGCTTACGCGCCCGCCCGCCCGCCGGCTCGGGCCTAGGTCTGAAACTTGGTACTTGGCAATTGGACTGTTGGCTAGACTTGAGCGGCCTTGGATGGTCTGGGCCAGTATTAGGCTTGGGCCTCGGGCCCAACACCTATATATCTTTTTGATGCAATTTTATTTGTAAATTTATGACCCAAATTAAATCCACCCGACAGATGTGTCCTATACTAGGTTTTGGTACTTTCCAAAAAAAGCCTCATGCATCATAACATATTGTGCTCAATTCTCGACTCCGATCAAGTTCGCCGGAACTCGAAGTTGAGGTGCTACAGCCTTTGAGACGTCAGCCATTGTATCTTTTGAGACAAAATTGCATAGATCTGCTAGCAATGACTTATTTGTCTTGCGAAAAGATTTCAATCGCCTTGGCTTTAGTCTGTCCGCACTAAAGTTGTACTTTACTTTTCTATTTTGTAGTTCAATTATAAGAACTGAAATATTCAGTTTCAATTCATAGGTATTCCGTTGTATTCGGAACACGTATTTGTAACACAAGATACAATGACGTGTGACTTGTATATAGCGGTACTTCAAATATTTTATAGAATAAATATTATTTTTATTAAAAACAAAAACAAATCGACTCGATCAACAAATTTTAGCCCCATATATGCTATATACTTCTCAGTGCAATATATTATAATCAATTGATAAAATCCGATTGTAAAGTATAGACGTGGCCAAATCACGGGTCGAGTCATGGCCCGGCCCGGCACGCTGGTTCCGCGGGTCTCAATCTAATGGCCCGTAACCGGCCCGTCAATTTCTATGGGCCAGGTCACCGACCTGCCGGTTTTCGGCCGGTTCCGCCCATTAAAAAAAAATATTCCCAACACTGCCGCCCATCTTTCAACCTACAGCCCGACCCGATCCGACCCGGACCGTCGGAACAAGAAAAAAAATAAAGAATCGGAACCAACCCTCATGGCCACAGTTCCAGTTCACAAAACCGACGAAATCCGGACCGGTTCAGTGCCAGGCCGACAGGTCCTCGGCCCTTGGCCACCTCTAGTAAAGTACCACATTACCTTGCACACACCATTACCTCAAGGATGGAAGTCTTGTTCAATTCACTTAACTTCTTTGATACTATGAACTTCAACCACTAGTTGCTACATATTTTAACAAAAACCCCAAACATAATCAAAAGAAATTTTTATGTTACTATATTATTTTGATAATGTTTATACTAATAGATTTGACTCGACTTATTTGTAATTTTAAAGGCTTATAAAATAAAATATTTTATTATAATTTAAATTAAAAAACAACAAAATATATAGTTCACTAGAATTAAAATATATCGAACCACCACATAATACGTCATTCCAAATACAACATACAAGCTCCAACAAAACTCTTGTCTAATAATCTCCAATATCAGTCGCCAAGATTCTTATAAACTCTTGTTTAAAGTATTTGTTGAAAACATTACAATAAATAAAATAAGATTGCCAACACTACAGCCATGTGCACACTACCAAAAAAATAATATAAAGAAACATATAATATCCATGCACCACCAATCAAAATCCTCAGAAAAACTAATTCATGAATATACTCAAACTACAAGCCAACCGACACATTGAAACTAAGTTCAAACAGAAACAGCACTTCTGTCCTTGGAGGAAATGACTATCATTTGCAGAGCCATCATCCACTAAAACATGCCTAACCACACATCTGCCACAAACTCCCACTGTACATCCATTTGTTCATGAGCTCAGATTTAAAACACAATAATCTTTCTGAAAAAAGACCTTACCCTTCTATCTGATTCCATGCAAATAGCAGACAAACTCTTTGAAACCAGAAAAGGCAGAAAATGACCCCACACGACTAACCAGTTTAGAAACACTTCCTGTGAACAATTGCAGGACCAGATTCATCATACTCCCCCTTTGCAATCCACATCTGCATAATAATAAGATGTATTAGCAAAAGTAAAAGTAAGAATCAAGTCACATAACACACAAGAAAAGGGAACCGACACACACCTGCTGGAAAGTACTGAGAGAAGCTAGGATAGATCCACCAATCCAAACACTGTACTTCCTCTCAGGTGGGGCCACGACCTTTATCTTCATACTGCTGGGAGCAAGAGCTGTTATCTCCTTGCTCATACGATCTGCAATCCCCGGAAACATGGTGGACCCGCCACTAAGCACCACATTTCCATAAAGATCCTTACGGATATCCACGTCACACTTCATGATGGAGTTATACGTCGTCTCGTGAATTCCAGAAGCTTCCATCCCGACCAGCGACGGCTGGAAGAGGACCTCCGGGCAGCGGAACCTCTCGGCACCTATGGTGATGACCTGCCCGTCGGGCAGCTCGTAGGTCTTTTCCACAGCTGAGCTATTCTTGGCAGTCTCGACTTCCTGTTCGAAGTCAATGGCAACATATGCAAGTTTCTCCTTCACGTCACGAACGATTTCCCGTTCGGCAGTTGTTGTGAACTTGTAGCCTCTTTCGGTCAAGATCTTCATAAGATAATCGGTGAGATCACGGCCAGCAAGGTCCAGACGAAGGATGGCGTGTGGGAGGGCGTAGCCCTCGTAAATAGGGACAGTGTGGCTCACCCCATCACCAGAATCAAGCACTATACCTGTTCACGAAGAAAAGATAATAGATGATTTACGAGAAATTACATAGACAGTTTTGCTATGAAACCAACAGTTGGCTCCAAAATGGAGCCAACCTTCTATATACAACAGTTTTGGCTTCATAGCGCGCAAAACTGGTTACATAGAATATCCTGAGTATCAGATGTCTGAGAAAAAGACCATTAACTTTGAAAAGTACAAAAAATGACTCGACTCTCGAGGTCTTGTTCCGCTTACATTTTGTCCCTAACGTTGGTTTACTTGATAAAAATTGTTGACATGTAATTATTTTAGAATCAAACTTCTAAAACTTGCATTGTATCATAACAAGCCCTACCAGATTCCTGGCTATTCGTTGTACTTGAGGGATGGACATGCAATAAGATTAAGTTTTTGGGCTCTTGCTTTTAGAAAGGGTAAGGGACATGTAATAAGATTAAGTTTTTGGGCTCTTGCTTTTAGAAAGGGTAAGGGATGCGCAAAAGAAAAATGTAATCCTCAAGAGTGTTTTTCATAATAATCTAATGTATATACATAAATCGCAAAACCGAATTAAGTGAGCGAGCTTGAGACAGGAAAATCTACTTAAAATTGCACCCATACCAGTTGTTCGCCCACTGGCATAGAGGGAAAGGACAGCCTGGATAGCAACATACATAGCTGGCACATTGAAGGTCTCAAACATGATCTGAGTCATTTTCTCTCTGTTGGCCTTTGGGTTGAGAGGAGCTTCTGTGAGCAGAACCGGGTGCTCCTCAGGAGCCACACGAAGTTCATTGTAGAAAGTGTGATGCCAGATTTTCTCCATGTCATCCCAGTTGCTGACTATACCATGCTCAATTGGATATTTCAGTGTCAAAATACCTCTTTTGGATTGAGCCTCGTCACCTACATAAGCATCCTTTTGCCCCATCCCAACCATCACGCCTGTATGCCGTGGACGACCAACTATACTTGGAAAAACTGCTCGTGGGGCATCATCACCAGCAAATCCAGCCTGTAGCATATATATATATATATATATATATATATATATATATATATATATATAAAAATCAAGCAGCTTAGCCACTATTGCACTTACCTCATACAAAACAAAGATATAAATAAACTCGATACACATTAAATGACAGCCTCACCTTGACCATTCCAGTACCGTTGTCAACAACAAGGGGTTGAATATCCTCTCCATCAGCCATTTTATGTTATTTTCTGCAGAACAAAGAGCAGAAGTGATCTGATTCAGTTACGAAGAAATAATTGAGAAAAACAGAAACAGGTCAAAGATGTGAAACAGAGAGTCATTATAAGCACATGCTTCACCAAATGTAATCATTGACGGAGAATTACATGAATTACAGCTGCTCAAGCTTCTCACACGGAACAAGATGGTAATGGCCTTTGCTTTAAAGAATTCAATTTGTGATACACAACAGGTTTTGACACAAACACACCCATTCATATTAGGTTAGAAAAATAGAAACAATACAGAGAAAGGACAACCAACCAAACAGACATACAATGAAGAATAATAAAAGGGTATCACCATGTGAAAGGCCCCAAATGGCTTCCATTAACATAACACATCGAGACAACATCAATACAAAGATTGCAGTAATTTTGTTAGTTGAAGCTCTGAAAAGGAAAAGGAAATTGCAATTATTTCACTGCTTCACCAGGCCAAATTTAAATTTAATACCACCATGAAGTACTTTCTTACCAAAAATCTTCAAAATTAAAGGTCAACGCATTTGATAAAATCAATTCAAAGTTTCAACCTCTTTCACCATTAATTATTCATGCCTCTCTCATGTCCACACAGATATAAGTGTATTTCCTCCATTGAACCAGATTACAGTTCAAGACGATTCAAAAAACAAGCAAAAGCCCAAAGTAATTCATAATTTTAGTCAGTAAATTCACAGGACGATGACCCATAACCATTACCAACAAATGAAAAAAGCTATTTATTACAAAAACTATACAAGCTTCCATAAATCCAGATCCAGAAACCAACATAAACCTTAACGAGGTATAAACAATATAATCGGAAAAGAAGAAAACTTTAAAATTTTCAGATTTTTGATCACCTTCGCTGGAGCAAACTAGGCTGCTTTGCTGAGGAGTGTGTTTAGAGAGAGAGGAATGGTCGAGAAGGCAGAGAGAAAGATGAGAGAGGGAGGATCCCTATATACTCTGCTAGAATCGCGTATTAGGGAAATAAAATGAAATGACCTTGAAATGAAATGCAAATGAAATGCGCCTCATACATGACGTCACTAGCCTTATATATAATCAGCCATTTGAGTAGATTATGAAATTGGAATTACCCAAATAGAAATAAAACAGAACCTTTGATTCTGGTTGGTGAGATTATGATTGAAATCGGAAAATAAAGAGAAAAAAAGGTCATTTTTTCAATGATTGATGTCAAATATCTTTTTGAATTTCAAGAATCTTATTTTTGGCTTTTTCCTTTTTTTAATTTTAAAGACCAGCAATGGTAAGTTGTTAGTGGTATTTTGAATTTATATTAAAATAATATTTAAAATAAAATAATTAAAGTTGATTTGATATAAAGTATGAGATAGATGATGGGAAATGATGGTTAGTTAAAATTATGTGAGTGAATGAAAATTAAATTAAAGTTGAGGCAAGTTATAAGAATGACGGAGTCATATTATTTAATTATAATGATAATATTGAGAGTAACGTGGTTGAGTTAAAAAAAATAATTGGTTAAAAATGATTGAATTGGTTTTGGAAAAAGTTTGTATGATGTTTTGTTTTGACTACTAGTACAAATCCCGTGTAAGAAATATTCATTAAAATTTATAAATTAATATTTATTAAATAATATTAATAAATTAAAAATATGAAATCAATATGTAATACAATTTACCGATATTAATTTATTGAAAATGTTAAAAATATGAAATCAATATGCAATACAATTTACCTATATTAATTTATTGAAAATGTTATATGAAATTTAAATTGTGCAGAATTACAAAAAAACATGTATATTCAAAGGAGTACACAACTCTGTGTTGAATACATGTGTCAGTTTATTGTCTTAAAGGTTAAGAGAACGCAACAAGTACTGAAGTCTAGATTATTTACTTTGTCAGTATAAAATAATCTTCTCCTTCTATAGGTCTGTTCAATACATCTAGATTATTTACTTTGTTAACCTTATTATGCTGTGCATCACTTCATGTTCCTTCTCTTTTAAGATTAATGGCACAGTCAGTGGGTATGTGCTCCCCTCTAGAGGCATAAGACAGGGGGATCCATTATCCCCCTATCTCTTTATAATTGTCACTGAAATGTTGTCTGCTTTGGTATCTCAAGCTACTGCTGATGGATCTCTGACAGGATTGAAAATTTCTAAAGAAGGGCCTGCTATTTCTCATCTGTTATTTGCAGACGACTCTTTATTCTTTTGTAAAGCAGGCCTTGATCAGTCTCAAACCCTTCTGAGTCTCCTGGAGAAATACAAACTATTCACTGGGCAAGCTGTTAATTTGAGCAAATCCACAGTCTTCTTTAGTAGGAACACACCAGACCACTTGAAAGCAAGCATCTGTGCCAATCTGCAGGGTATTACAGCTCATAGATCTACAAAGTACCTGGGCCTCCCACTAGGTATTGGAAGATCTAAGGTAGATACCTTTAAATACATTCTGGATGCTGTCTCTACTAAGCTTCTTAACTGGAAATCAAAGTTGCTCACACAAGCTGGAAAAGCAGTGCTCCTCAAGACAGTCCTGCAAGCCCTACCTGTCTTCACTATGTCATGTTTCAAAATTCCTAAAACACTGTGCTCAGCTATCAACTCCATTTGCTCTCAGTTCTGGTGGACCACAAAGGAGGACAACTCCAAAGGAGTACACTGGACCTCTTGGAACAAACTCACTTTACCAAAAGATAATGGAGGTCTGGGATTCCTTGATCTGCAGCTCTTCAATATTGCTCTAATATGTAAACAGCTATGGAGGATCATTACTCAGCCATCTCTGTTGGTCAGCAGGATCTTGAAGCAAAAATACTTTCCTAACACTTCTATCTTTGAAGCCAGTAAGACTCAAAACTCCTCATGGCTTTGGTCCAACTGGATGTCTGTTCTCCCCACTTTTGCTCAGGGTTTTGCTATAACTATCAGAAATGGTGAAGACACCAGATTGGAGGATATTAACTGGGTACCTACTCTTAAACAGCCAAAACCTAGATTAATTGACATTGCCAGAGGCCATTTAATCAAAGTCAAAGAGCTGCTCACTGCTACAGGGCTGGAATGGAACACTTGGCTTGTAAAGCAGGTTTTCAATGAGGAAGATAGCAATGCCATTCTCAAAATCAATACTCTGAAACCTGACAAAGCTGACCAAACTTACTGGAAGCTGCATAGTAAAGGAACTTTTTCAGTCTCTAGCACTTATTCCTTCCTCTGTCAACAGAAGCTGCATCAGCTAGATATCCCAAGTTGCAGCTCCCTCAATGGTCAATCTCTATGCAAGGCCACTCACAGGTTGTGGAAGTTGAAGGTGGAGAATAAAGTCAAAATCTTTATCTGGAAATGTATAGCTAACTCACTGCCGGTTAAGACCAACCTTAGAAAGAAGGGAATGGACATAGATGTCATCTGCCACTTTTGTGGAGCTGCTGCTGAAACAGCCAATCATGTCCTTTTCCACTGTCCAAGAGCAATGAATGTATGGCAATACTCTCCAGTATCATGGGATTCAAATCATACAGTGGACTCTTCTTTCAGCTGCTGGTGGAAGTTTATTAGCTCGGTTGGCAAGGCTGGAACATCAGAGGCTCGAATTCAATTGACAACATATATCCTCTGGTGGCTCTGGAAAACGCGCAACCTCAGTCTATTTCAAGAAGTTCAAATGCCTGTGAATATGGTGATCAAAGCCGCATTGTCCAACTGGCTGGAGTTCTCCGGCCTTTAGATTGCTATGTATCTCTTGTCTTTTGGTTTTCTGTACTAGGATATCTTGTCTTTTGTTTGGTTTTTTCATTTCCTTTGGTTTGACCTTAGCTTTATCTCTAGGCATTGGCAGTGGAGGTAGAACTATAGTCTAGTTTGTTTGTTTTCTTTCCTTGTTGAGGTTCTAGGCCGCTATATGCGTGTCCTCCCACTTTTCGCTTTTCCTTCTCGGGTTGGATTGTACTATTCGAACTTGGTTCGCTTGAGTTTTTAATAGAATCCCTATCGTTTCGACAAAAAAAAAAGAATTTATTATTTGNATACATCAGAGATGTACTACTGTAATTCGTTAGTGAAAGATCAACTAACTCGAAAATCACACTACAACTAGCCATGGCCAAAACCCGTGCCGGGTCGCCGGGGTCAGAAACACTGACCCTGAACCGGCACGGACCTATACTCGTGTCGGGTCCGTGTCCGGGCCTGGTCGTGTCCGGGCCGAGTCCGTGCTTTTTTTAAAAAAAAAGTATAAAAAAAATAAAAAAAATAAAAAATTAAAAAGAAGGGCCATCGACTCGGCCCGGCCCTGACCCTCCGGGCCGAGTCATGAAATGGATGACCCTTACACGGCCAGTCTGAAATCCGGGCCGGTCCCAGACCCGTGGTCAACGGGTTTGACCGAGCCGGGTCAGTGCCAGGTCGGCGGGCCGGGCGACCCTTTGGCCATGTCTAACTACAACCTTTGCCAACAAATAGTACAATTCCGTGTAGGATGTGAACTAATATTTATATTTTACTAGGCACCGTTAATATGAATTTTTTGCTAGACACATTGACCCATAATATCTACAATGTAACATAAGAAACTATGCTTACATAAATAAATAAACTGCAAACACACCATTAACTAAATCACAAATCTTATTTAAAATGGTATTGTCTGAAACTGAAAGTTGACTTTTACAGCATACCTTAATAGTGGTTACAACCTAGGACTTACGAGTTGTACAATAAAAGGGGAAAAAATCTTAGTAGGATAGAAAGTATAGTTTGTCAAG